CCTGTGCTTATATCAACATTATTCACAATAGACAAAAGGTGAAAGCACAAAAGTCCATTGAAGGATGAATGGATAAAGAAAATGTGATACATATAAATGTCATGGAATATCATTCAATCTTGAAAAGGAAGGAAATTCTCCTATATGCTATAACATTGTTGAACTTTCATGACATTGTTAAATTTAAGAAATTCAGTCACAGGGGCTAGCAGGTGGTATGGTGGTTCAGGGTGCTGGACTCCCACATGGCCAATAGTGGTTCAAGTCCCGAACCTGGAAGCTTGCTTTCTCTCTCTCTTGCTCTCTCGCTCTTGCTCTGTCCCTCTCTGCTTTAAATAAATAAATAATTCTAAAAAAAAAAAAAAAAAAAAAACCTCAGTCACAAAGACAAATACTGTATAACTCCACCCTCATGTGCTACCTAGAATGGTCATAAATATAGAAACATGAAATAGAATAGGGGCTACCAGAAATTACAGGAGGAAGGAATGGGGAGTTTTTGTTTAATGGGCACAGAGTTTTAGTTCAAAATGATGAAAAGTTCAGGAGATAGTGACAGTTGCAGAACAGTGTAAACGTATTTAATGCCTCTGAACTACACATGTTCAAATGGTAAAATTTATGTTATGTTCATCTTATCTCAGTTTTTAAAAGGTTTTTAGGGTCAGCTCTATAGTTTAGTAATTAAGGGAGCTGGAATCCATATGGCCAACCATAGTTTGAATTCCAGCCTCAGTGGCTTGAAAAACACGCCAAGTTTGAGAGCATGCCTGTATACCCCAAAATCCCAACAGAATAGAGGAATAGAGAAGGGAATGCAGCATGACCATGCCTCATTAGGAGGTGCTTTCTTCCTCTCTCTCTCTAGCCAGAGTATAGACCCTTCGGTAAAAAGAAAAATGATAATAATTTTGGGGACCAGCAGTTGGCATAATGGTTACGTTGCTGGAATCCCCTGGGTCCCGGACCTGGCAGCTTACAACTCCACGTGTATGTGTGTGTCCAAAATCCCAAGAGGAGAATGGAAGAGAAGCGATTGTGGCATGGCCATTCCCACTGGGAGGTGATTTCTCACTGTCTCTGTCTTTCTGGCAAGTGCATGTGCCGTACAGCAAAAATCTAATAGTAATAATTTTTTAAATTAAAATTTTGAAAAAGGTTGTTAAAAAAGCATACATGGTCAAGAAAATGAACATACACCTACATCCCAGCAGCACACTCTTTTGTGACCTCACACCTCTTCCACATTCTACGTGCTTTACTGTGAAACTTCCTGAAGGAGCTGTGCATTTGTGCTCCAGTTTTTCACCTCATTCAGTTGCTCTTCACACTCCACGGGTATACTTTTTTTTCCTTAAGATATTTTTGCTATAAGGTACATGCACTTGCTGGAAAGACAGAGAGAAAGTGAGAAATCACCCCTCAAGGGGGATGACCGTACCATAATCCCTCCTCTTCCATTTTCCTCTTGGGATTTTGGGCACACACACACACACATGTACCTAGTGAGTTGCAAGCCACTGGGTCCTAGACTTGAACCGGGGATGACCATGTGGAAGTTCAGTGCCTTAACCACTATACCACCTGCTGGCACCAGGGATACTTCTTAAAAGACCACCCACCCTTACTCTTGATACTTTAAAATTTTTAATTTTTTATTTTTTTTCAGTTTTTCCTCATAGGGTACATGTGCTCAATGGAGAGAGACAGGGAGGAAAAGAGAAAAGTCACCCCCGGGGTGGTGGGTGGGGGGTGGCCATGTGATAATCTCCTTTTCTCTGCTCTTGGAATTTGGGTCACACAGGCCCAGCATGATTTTCAAGCTGCCAGATCTGGCACCCGAACCAGGTCAGCCATGTGAAAGTCCAGAGCTTTGACCACCATGCCACCTGCTGGATCCCTTTAACTTTTTTTTTTTTTAAAGAATTATTTTATTTTATTTATTGTTATTAATTTAAAAGCTGATCAGAGAAGTAGAAAATGAGAAAGCATGTCACCAGGTCTGGGACTAGAAGTGCATTTGGCTAATATGGAAATCTAATGCCTTCACCACCACACCACCTGCTGGCTTAAGCTCCTTTTAATGGCTTTTAACACAAGTGACCATTTCTTTTTGAGATGCCTTTTTTTTTTTTAAAGAGTTTTGAGATTCTACCCCTTCTAGTTTTTAGCCTACCTTATGGATTGCTCTTTCCCAATTCCTTTGCTGGTCTCCCCTTCTTTTTATTTTTTCTCTCAAACATTTATCCATTTATCTATCTATTTATATATTTGCTGTGATTTTTCCTTTCTTTTTTTAAAAAATACTTTATTTAACTTTACTTATTTATTTAATTTGACCAGAGAGGGACAGAGAGAGAGAGAGAGATAGAGAGAGAGAAATAAAGTAAGAAAGCAAGCTGCCAGGTCTAGGACTGAAACCATGGTGGGCCATGTGGGAGTCCAGTGCCCTTAACTACCATGCCACCTGCTGGCCCCCTTACTGTGATTTGTCAAGTCACCAGGTCTGCGACTTGAACAGTGGTCAGCCATGTAGGAATCTAACACCTTAACCACTATGCCATCTGCTGGTCCTAGTCTCCCCTTCTTTACCAGACCTTTACTATTACTATTTTAATTATCAGAGAGCATGTACACTCACCAGAGGGGAAGGGAATGAAAGAATCCCCGGGTAAGGTATGGTCATGCTGCAATCCCCTTTCCTCCATTCCGTCAGGATTTGGGGCATGCATGCATGCACATTTGGCCTGCTTCTTAAGCCACCAGGGTTGTGATATGAACCATGATCAGCCATGTGGTATTCAGCTCTCCTAACCACTAGTCTACAGGGCTGGTCTCTCTACTTGTCTTTTAGTTGTTTGAGTGCTGTAGAGCCAAAGTTTCTACGCTCTATGGCAACTCCCTCCATACCTGACACTATTTAATCCCTGGCCTTAAGTAATATCTGGTACTGTTGAATCCCAACTGTTTATATCCAGCTTTGACCTTTGTCTGAACTTTAGATTTCTGCATAATTTATTCGCCTATGACATTTTATTAAGATAGCTAAGACATCTCAAGCTTGACATGTTTAATAAAGAATTGCTGCCTTTACTTCCCCTAAGCTCCATAACCTATTTCAATTTGATTTGTTCCTCAATAGATAAAACCATCAGTTATTAAGTCGCCAGGCCAAAAACTTCATGATTCGTAGTTTTTTCTAAAACTCTATCCAGCCTTTTTCAGCTAGGGTTAG